CCCCAAAACCCCAAAACCCCCGGCAAGCTTGAATAAATCAACAAAACCCCAATTAGAATTAAAGAGACTGCAGATGATTTATACAATTTTAGTAGGATATTTAAACTTCAGCCTTTCTATTACTTTTATAAATTTGTGATATAAAATAGGATGGATGCATAGTTGCTGGTAACACTACTTTTGACTAATGTCATAATCATATCTTAAATTGGCCTTTCGACAAATCAATTCCAATACTTTCAAGTTACTGCTTGTTGACATTGTTCTTTTCCAAATTAATGACCTTAATACTGTGATTAATCTGTTAGATTGAAATGATCAATTTTTCGACGCTAAGATTGCTCAAATGATTACCATCTAAAATTTATGAAAAGCAATATAATAATACACAGATTGATAAGTTAAAGATTTAGATTATTAACAATGGCCTAAGTCAAAGCTAGACCACCTTCATCCTAGATATTGTTATTTTCTACATTCGATTATTTAAATCAAGCTTACTTAGGTAAAGAATTTCAAGACACTTAAATTTAGGGATAAATTCTGAAAGCACTTGTGCTCCACGGTCTCCAATCAAATTATTGTTCAAGGATAGAATTCTAATTTGATTATTCTTTACATATAATTCCTAAACTATCAATGACAAACAATCATCATCAATTCCCTTATCATCTAGAATAAATGAAGAAAAAGCAATTCTTACTTAGACTGATCATTTATGATTCAATATTGATGCAGGCAAGAATATTTTAGACTTTTTGCAAAACTACAGTCAAGTCAATAGTCGGCTTTACTCTTTTCAAAGGCTCATTATTGCTTTCCTTTCTTGGTGTTATACTCATTAATGCTACATCTGATCTCTTCCTCTTATGATTAGATGCTTGAGCTGGAGTATTATTGGATCTATTGTTGGATTTGTTTAAGGCATTCATTGTTGAATGAGAGGTTGATGACTGATCTTTCGAACTTTCTGCATTTGTTTTTCGAGAGGTAATCTTACCAATAGATTTTGTTTTTTTAGAACTTGAAGAACCAACTGATTTCTAAACGATAGATTTACTGCTGTTCTCTTAATTCAAATTACTATGTCGAGATTTAAAGAGGTTAGGCTATTTTATATTTTACAGATCATTTTTATCATTTAGTGGAACATGCAAATCAATCTCTATTCAACCTAGTTTCGATTAGGGGTAACCGTTCTTTTGATAATAAGCCTATAACGCTTGCAAATCATTTTTCAAGCTAGTCTTGGTAAATGTAGTTTCATCTGAAGGATGAGCAATCGTAGAGATTGTTATATCCTAAAGTAATTAGTTAAACTGTTCTGCTAGGTTTCCACCATCAACGTTATTATTTAGGTTCAAAGAAGCAAAGCTGTTTTCAACTGTCTTGTAATTGTTAGCATAATTTTCCAAGTCCAAAATCATATCAGTTAATTTTATCCTAATTTAAGGATCTCTTCTTAGAGCTCTTTACAGTATTTTCGTAAGGAATGGATCAATACACTCTTCAAGAATCTAAAATCTGCCATCTCTTTGATTAAAAGGAAGGAGTCCTGTCAGTACTTCGTGAAACAGAATACCTAAAGACCAAACATCACCTTATTGAGAAAACTATTCTTCTGGAGGGAGATATAATTAATTTGAATAAAATTTTCGCTTGTCCTCGAAATATTTTTGGGCTCCATGTTTGTTTATATCGTATATATTATTGATGGCTAGTTAAGCTTTTGCCTTACTCAAATAAATCTGATTAGGCGTCATAGCTCCATAGACAAGATTTTTATCGTGGAGATATTTTACTGCTTTGCATATTTAGATGAAATATGACAAACCTTTCCTGGTATTTTTAATGGGCAATTGCTTTTCCAAAGTCTAAGAGCTTGCTGTTAAAAAGATGTAAACAGATCGATTCAGATAAAAGGACATTACGTATTTAGTTAGGTGCTCATGATTGCAGCTTTAAAGCATGATCTGTTCCTTGTTAGAAATATCTTCCCCTATATTATTTACTCTCTTTCTTTTAATTTGATAAAACTCATTATCTAAAAATGAGCATCCCAAATATGTCATTATATTGTTATGATCATTTTTAAATGTCTCAACAATGTCATAATTGTTTAAAACAAAGGCATTATCTTCATTTTATAAGTTACTCTATTAGTTAGGATCCTCATTAGAGCACATTTTAGTGAATTAAGAGGATGAGAGTGCTCTGAATAGATGATCACTGCGCTAGGTTTCGAGGGATAGCTTTTTAGACATGTTTACAGATCTTAAATTTTACTACTTCTCCATTGATTATAAAATTTGATTAACTATTGATTCACTTTAAGTAAATTTTCTATTAAAATTTTCGAAACTTTCAAAAAAAATTAAAACTTAATTGCAGCAAGAATGGGGTTTTGGGGTTTTGGGGTTTTGGGG